ATTTACGTGGTTCTGCATTTAGTCCAACAACAGCAACAAAAAAATCCAATAAAAAAATTATATTGTCTAGAGTCCTCAATTCTCTTTTTACACATAAAACTGGTTTGTTGTTTTTTCTTTTTAATTTAAAAATAAGCAATTATTCCTAAAATGGTAACGACGTTACAGCAGTGTCTAGGTACCCCACAGAGCTCGATTCCCTGTGTGCTTGTCGCCACCCATACATTCACACCGTATAACTAAATTATCCCTGACTCACTGCCAGGAAAACACAGAGGATGAGATGAAGACAGCAGGGTTGGCCACAAACAGCAAGTACAAAGAGATTAAGCAATTTGCTCAGGTTTAGGGAGCAACAGGAACTGAATTCTTTTCTTTCCCAGCCCTTGGCCAGAAGTTTCTCTTCGCACTTTCTCCACTTATGAAATGCTGTTTCTCAAGGACTGGCTAACTCAGAGGAGGGTTTGGGAGTATTAAATCATTTTGTCATTTGGAGGAACCTCTGCAAGGCCAAACTGTTACCAAGAGTGGCTGCCTGGACTCATGGAAATGATTCAGTGGCTCACATCCAAGTCTTGCTGAAAGTGACACAAAGATCACCTTTTCTTACAGATTCACCACAGCTGAAGAGTTGGCTAAAAACAGTTTCATACCAGGATGAGGCAGAACATTACTATGAATAACAAACATATAACAGATATAAAAGCTGACACAGTGGCCAGGAAATGAAAACCACAACCAGGTGGCCTGTAGCAGTTTAACATAGAGGTCACTTTTTAGTGAGAAGTACCAGAGTTCTAGTTCCTCAAATGAAACAGAAAATAATGTGCCCTGAGAAAGACACATGAATTTCCACCTTACCCAGATGGTGTCCTTCCACATGCATTACCTGCTTCATGGCAAATGCTGAATTTCAGCTGATATCATGGAATATCAGCACAGTTCACTTAAGGCATTGCATTTACATAATAGTAGCAGAAGGAACTGTGGGAACCTCCGTATACTCAAGAAGAGAAACCCACGGTGAAGTACGTACCCATAAAGATATCATAGAATAGTCTGGGTTGGAAGGGACCTTTAAAGGTCATATAGTCCAACTCTCTGCCATGAGCAGGGACATCTTCGAGATGATCAGGTTGCTCAGAGCCCCATCCAGCCTGACCTTGAATGTTTCCAGGGATGGGGCATCTACCACCTCTCTGGGCAACCTGGATCAGCGTCTCACCACCCTCAGCATAAAAAATTTCTTCCTTGTATCTATGCAACAGGCAAGTCTCTCTGCTGCAAAACCCTTGTACCTTCAACAGTCAGCGTGGCTTCGGTCTCTGCGCTTCCAGGCCTGCATTTGTACACACCAGCATCTTCCGGCTTCACCTTCAAAATCTTGAGCTCTGCTGAATACTGCTCCCTCTTGATTTTGTACTTCTCGGAGGGCTCAATGAGTGTGTTGCCCTTGAACCACTTCACAATCTTTGGGGAAGGCCTGAAGTCACAAGACAGGACGACAGAATGGCGCTCCAGGGCGGTCTTGTCCTCCATCTTCCTGGTGATCTGTATGTGGTAATCTGTAAAGCAGGGTTGGGAGGAATCATAGAATGGTTTGGGTCGGAAGGGACCTTTAAAGATTATCTAATCCACACTCCCCTGCCATTAGCAGGGACATCTTCAACTAAATCAGGTTGCTCAGAGCCCCATCCAACCTGATCTTGAATGCTTCCAGCAATGGGGCATCTACCACCTCTCTGGGCAACCTGGAGCAGTGTTTCACTACCCTCATTTTAAAAAATTTCTTCATTATATCTAGTCTGCAACTACCCTCTTTTAGTTTAAAGCCATTAACTCTTGTCCTGTCATAACACATGAAGAAGAGGAAAGCTTCTAATCTGTATTTCATGGCAATGATTTTAATGCATGTCATTCACAATGCTTTGTGAATTGTTTAGATGATGCTACAGGTTCCTGTTACAGAGTTGATTTCCTTTGAAGCTAAACCAAAGTGATGATCTATAGGGAATGTTGATTTCTATAAGATAATACTGTGTATTAACTAACAAATGCATGGTCCGGTTCTGGTGTAATGTTTACTGAAACCACTCTCTAATTCAGGACTTTATGCAAGTAAAACTGAATTAAAGACAAAACAAGGACTTCAGGATGCGATTGGAGATATTTACAATGGAGACAGGGGAAGATAAAAAGCCCCGAATCCTGAATCTTTGTCTCCAATCAAATTGATGACAAAGTGGATTAAGTAAATGAGCTATCAAACTTGTCTAGTTCAGAAATAGCACAAAATAAACGCTCCTGGCAAATTGCATGTTTTTTCCTCGTTGATAAAGTCAAGGGGGAAAAAAAATGGTCTTAGCTGAATAGATTCGAATATCAGGCCCTGCAAACTCATTTAATTGGATCCCTTCCTGAGGCATTGCTGTCTCATTTAGTGCATCCAGCACTGCGCCCGACAACTTGTCATTGGGAACTAAGCAGATCTTCCAGGTAGACCTCCATTTTCAAGACCCCAACCAGTGGAGCCTGGCAGTATGTAGGAAAAATTACTTTGCAGGGACTGAGAGAGAGAGGATCTCTTGTGATCTAATTCAAGCCCAGGCCGTATCATGTTACCTCTGACAAGCAGGTTTGCTGTGGATTTTGATTTGCCAATGCAGAACTGAATGGTGCCTGTCATATCAGCACTGGTTTTCAGGATTGTCAGCCGGTGGATGGTGCCTTCTTGCTGCATGACGATGTTTCCGCCAGCCTGGAGGGCCGCTCCCCGTAGGAACCATTTGGGCGGTTTCACGGATGGAATGGATGTCTCACACTCAAAGTTGGCTTCTTCAGGCTCAGTCACATCCTCATCACACAACTCCTTTACAATGTTAATGGATTGCTCTGGATGAAGGATGGAAGGAGAAAACAGGGATTTAGGAGTCACGAAAGCATCATAGAATGGCTTGGGTTAGAAGGGACCCTAGAGATCATCATCCTGTACAATCATGTCATCTTTTCTGCATTAGAATACTGCACTTTTGGGCTCAAAACACCTTAAAACATCCTTTTTAAAAAAAAAAAATAAAAATAAACAAACATATATTGTTGGTCACAGGTCAGACAGTGAGACTCTAGAACAGCCTCAACAGAATCCAGATCTCCTGTTTCCTGGTTCTATTTCTGAAACCACCTTTCTACTGTGATATCAAATGCTTGGTACTATTGGTGGATTTTGATTTGCCAATGCAGAACTGAATGGTGCCTGTCATATCAGCACTGGTTTTCAGGATTGTCAGCCGGTGGATGGTGCCTTCTTGCTGCATGACGATGTTTCCGCCAGCCTGGAGGGCCGCTCCCCGTAGGAACCATTTGGGCGGTTTCACGGATGGAATGGATGTCTCACACTCAAAGTTGGCTTCTTCAGGCTCAGTCACATCCTCATCACACAACTCCTTTACAATGTTAATGGATTGCTCTGGATGAAGGATGGAAGGAGAAAACAGGGATTTAGGAGTCACGAAAGCATCATAGAATGGCTTGGGTTAGAAGGGACCCTAAAGATCACCATCCTGTACAATCATGCCATCTTTTCTGCATTAGAATACTGCACTTTTGGGCTCAAAACACCTTAAAACATCCTTTTTAAAAAAAAAAAATAAAAATAAACAAACATATATTGTTGGTCACAGATCAGACAATGAGACTGTAGAACAGCCTCAACATAATCCAGATCTCCTGTTTCCTGGTCCTATTTCTAAAATCACCTTTCTACTGTGATATCAAATGCATGGCACTATTAAAATGGAAAAGAAGGTTCCTTGAAATGCAGATGTTGATAATAGGAAAAACGCTGATTAGCTACAGCAACTGTTCTCTGAAAAAAACCTTAAACTACTTTTAAGTAATTTTAAAAAATTACTTAAAATGCTTTTAAAGTGCTATTGTGTTTTCAAAGTAAATGACAAGGGCTTTTTAAACCAGCCAATCCTCCTTCAAATGCATCCTAGAGGGGATAAAAATGGTTTACTACCTTCAACAAAGAAATTAGCACTGGTTTTGTCATCAAAGGCATCACAAGTGTATGTGTCCTCATCTTCATAACCTGCGTCATTGATGATGAGTTTCCGATAGACACCTTCACTCACAATTTCATATTTGTCACTAGGGTGAATTTCAACACCCTTTTTATACCATCGAACTTTGGCATTGGCACGAGACACCTGGCACTCCAGGAATCCCCGATGTTTTTCAAGAGCGATCTTGTCTCGCAAAGGCTTCACAATTTTTACAGGTAGTTCTAAAACGGATTTAAAAAAAAAAAAAAAGATGAATCATCAGTACAGTTTCCATGAAAAGTGCAAATTAAAAACTCATTAGCAATATTTCTTTTATGGACAGATATTTGGATGATGACAGGAATCCCTGCTATGCTAAACACTCAACTAACACACAGCAAGTGAAGAGCTAATGAAAGGAAAACTCTTTATCCCTATTTTACCACTTGAGTGGCTGAACTGCAGAGATAATAGGTAATTTACTCAACAGTACACAGCAGTGCTGTGGCAGAGCCAGGGATTGATCTCAAATGTCCTGAGCTCCTCATCAGTGTGTTAGTTCAAATGTCTTCTTTCTCTCTCACTCTATTGCACTGTTTAACTTAAACGTGAAAAAAATGCTACATGCTTTTTAAACATACACCAGAAAGAGAAAATGGAGGAGAAAGTCAAGCTACAGCTTTTTGTCTCTCAAAGTTCAAACATTACTTAATATCTTGAGCTACAAAACCAACCTCCTGAGAAAATAAACTGCAAAAGAAAATTCCCAGGCTGATTATTTCACATGCAGTAAGGTAGACAGGAGCTTTCCTGAAAAATTGAGGTGTTGTTTAACCTTCTTCACATTAAAAGTGAGGGACGTTGGTTGGTTTGTAACATGAGAAACCTTAAGCAGTACTGGCATGAAAAGTATAATTACCTTTTACAGTAAGCTGGGCACGAGATTCTGCCTTTTCTGCTACAAATTTGATCTCTGCTGCATCTTCGACTTGGACACGTGTGTAAGTCAGCGAATAGGTCTTTCCTGAGAACAGAGACACAACCATAGTTTCCCTTGAGCAAACAGCATTGCTCTCCAAGGCACACTGCCCGGTTGAGCATTGTTCATCTGGTTTCAGTGCATCACCACCTGCTCTCACAGTGGCAAGGCTGACCATTCCCCCATGTCTACATCCCTGTGTCAAAGGATAGCCTCACCTCAGATCCTCCAAGGACTGATTGAGCGTGGGCCTCACTGTCTGTGTAGGACTTGAAAAAGAAGGATCCCACCCACCGTCAGATGGTACAAATTCTCACTCACTCCTGGCAGCATAGGGTGGTGGGATGACACCAAATTTCCCTTATTAAGGTTCCCACCATCCCACTGTCCCAGCCTAGCTGTAGCCCCAAAAGAAAAGGGGAACTCTCTGCTGAATCTTCATAACTTGATTTTGGAGGTCAGACCCTTCTGCCGAGAATCCCCTACCAGCACCTACTCCAACCCACCCCCATTCGAGAACGAGATCCTCCTTTTACATCCTACCATCTTGGCGCATTCTGATATTGTCAGCAGCCTTCAGCTTGTTGTCATTTTTGTACCATTGGGTTTGGACCTCATCATGCGAAATCTCACAGACGAAAGACGCACTCTCATATTCGTTGACTTCCACATCTTCCAGTGGCTTTACAATCTTGATATCTCGGGCTGTGAAATCATAGAGTCATATATTGGTTTGGGGTTTCACCATAAGTGAGCGTGGTGTGTTTATTTTCTGCATGCTTGCATGGAAAAAATGGGATTGTGGTTTTTTTCCTAGATGAACAGTGAATACATTTTGGGCTTGAACCTACAGACAGAATTGCTATCTACAGTGGAGCTCACTGCAAGAGGATTTTATGGATGCCAGAACTTCATAAAGGTTTTAAAAGAAGTTAAACATATCAATGAAGAAAATTTGCTAAGGAAAACCAAACACAAGCCTATAATCTCTTGTGCCACTATAAACCTGTCTCATTCACATGCTTCTCTGCATGCTCTCCTCTGACACGCTTGTTTGTGTGTCCAGGCTGTATCAGCCACAGGGACCTCAGCCACGTTTTATCAAGGAGATACCTTTTCTTCAGACTTCCCTGAACTCAGTATAATCCTCTAGCTCTGCAACTTATGTCAGAACTGACCCATATTTCTGTGCTACTGCAGCCTTTTCCTTTTGAAAGGAATGGCCTTGGTACACCTTGGATCAGCCCCAGGAGCAGAGCTCAGATGCAAACCAGCCAGCATTCAAACAGAAACCCATCCCAATCACAAAGTCAGGGAGGAAAAGGGGAGTTCAACACAGCAACGGAACAGGACAGATGTTCATGAAGATATTGCTGAACCCAAGTGGCCACAGGAGGACAGCATCCAGTAAGCAATAAGAAAGAGCTGATCTGTCTTTTCAGATGTCCCTCTGGACAATAACATCTGCCAGGGCACAGCAGACCATTCAGTAACTGGCCTTCAGCACTAGCTCATCTCTGGTGCTTCAGAGCCTGGTGACAAAATACATCTGTCGCTTGACCAGTTGCACAGTTCAACGCACAGAAGGAAAAGCTGCCTTGAGCATGAAGGAGAGATGCAGTCAGAAAGCACTTTCCTTAGCATTTACAATGTAAAAACTAGGAAACTTCTTGAGATCATACCCAGGGCTCGTCCAGTCCCTGTTCAGGCAAAGTCCTCCCATGACAGTGGCAGAAGCTAAACCAAACCACGTCACCACCATCCACTGTATCCCTGCTTTGTGTCAGACAGTCCACTATTTGCCAACTTGTGAATCTAGAAACACCATTTAAATTCCAGAGACTAGAAACCACTTATGATAAATGGAAAACCAAGATAGCACATCTTCCAAAAATACTCCTCTAAGGATAGAGCAAGCACAGAGAGAAAGTTATCCAAAGTAAGTAACTGAGAAATACACAAAGCGTCCATGAAGCATTTTGTGCCATGGAGTCAAAAATATGGCAGTAGATGTAATTTCCTACTTCAGTCAAACATACCGTGAACCTTTAGGGTAGCTGACGTCTTGTCTTCAGCTGCTTCACACGTATAGGTTCCCTGGTCTTCATATTCACACTTGTGAATAATGAGGCTTCTCTTGTTTCCTTGGGAAATAATCCCCACTGTCTTACTTTGCCAGAGCTCTTTCCCATCCTAGAAGAGAAATGGCCAAACCAGGTCATCATCAACTCTTCCACATCTGCAGCGAGCGAAACAAACAGTCAGGTGTTTAATTCATCCATCTCATTGGACTTAATGGAACTGTGCTTACTGGAACATCTGCTGAAACTTAAGCCGAGTGAAAAGCTGACAAGAAGTAGGAAAGGCTGAAGAAGATACATACCTATTGGTTGACTTTAGACACCTATTTGAAGGCTTAAAGCACTGTACAGGGTTGGCAATAAACCCCTTCAGACATTACCTTGAAGAAATGCCGTTATCCTTTTTTTAAGGGAAGTATCAGCTGAGCCCCAGAGAAGGTTCATGAAATGCCTGAGTTGGTCCCCAATATGGTCAAGTAAAAGAACATAAGCAAAAAGGAGCTACATAGTAAAGGTTCAGACTCACATCCCCTGGAAGTGAAATTAAAGGCTCTCATTCCCTTTCAGAGAAGTCAGAAATCAAGATAGCGCTATCCGTTAAATGCTGTACCTTGAACCACTTAACATCCACGTTGGGCCTGGACAGCTCACACTCGAATGTGACCTTTTCTTTCTGTGTTACATTGATGTCTACCAAAGGCTTGCTGATTTTCACAGGCAATTCTGCAAAAAAAA